ATAATTTGTTTTTTAAAGCCACTTTTAATGACTTGTACTTTTGCATGTGTTGCTTTTACGACAATTTTGTAAACTTTTTAACTTATGTAAAAATTGCCGCAATTCGGTGTTTCACTGCGAGTGTGATTTTGAAATAAAAATATGAATTAAGAAAAAAAAAACACAAAACAAAAAATGCAGAGTACAGTATCCTGTTATGAGCTGTGACATTATTCTGGACTAAAACCAAAACAAGCAATATACCTAATGTGGCAAAGGCGCCTTCTATAAAGACCTGTCCAGACTATCAAATTCTATGGGACAAAAACATGTGACATGCCTAAATATGGTCATGATAACATCACATCATGACCATATATAGGCACTTCATGACTATATATGGGCATACGACAGTATTTTGGTAGTCTGCACAAAGCTTCAAGAAAAAAAATTTTCACATAAATGTCACTGTATTTAGTATAAAAATAATGAATATGCTAATCAGGTAACCATGGCTACACTGCCTCATTTACATAAATGTGTGCATATTACTCTACTTACTCTTAAGTAATCCTTGATGGCAGGATCCGTGTCAATCTTCTTTTGTAGCATAGCGGAGGCACTCAGTTGACAACTGCAGAATCGAATGTAAGGGGTAAAATGGGGAAGCTAAAGAAAAAAAAAAAAATAAAATAAAATTAATATTAATGTGAAAAGACAAAAAAATTGCATTACAGTGAGTCAAAATAAATTTATATAAATACAGGCATCCCTCTAATTTAATGACCCCTCCAATTAGAGTCACTTTTCTGTAGTCCCAAATAAACAAATATCTTTTATCTTTAAATATTATTCTAATTAAAGACCAAAGTTGCTAAAGACCATAGAAACCCAAGTCCTAAAAGTGGTCTTTAATTGTATGTAGATTTTATCTCTGTCAATTTGGAAATAAAATAATTTAGGGCTTTTACCGATGGGAAAACATAAACTTCTTCTTTGGACAATGACCCCTGCACATCAAACCCCCATACCCACATATCCCTACATGACACTACTCAACATACAAATACACAAATCTCCATACACATATGTACCTACACAATCATTTTACATGTACATGCACAAATGCATACATCATAGGTTTTCATGAGAAAATCCCTAAAATGTGCCTCATTTGCCGATGAAATCCACGTGGATTCAAAATAACCACTATGTCTGGCTGAACGTGACAACAGACACTTGTGTGTCACTGTGGTATTTGCCTCCAGCAGCAAATATACCGTACAAAATGCAAGCTAGTTCACGTTTGGATGCTTGTTAAGCTTGAATGGTTTAGGCAATTTACAACAGCAACATCGGCTATCTATCATTCACGATTAGGAAGTAACACGTTGAATTATGCATTGTATATTGCTTGAGCATGTTCAAGGAAAATTTTATTTAGTGAATGAATTCTGTAGTAGAAAACTGTGATGATGAGAACAATTTAAATTGGGACGAAGGGTGAAGAAAAGGAAAAAAGTAGATGGGAAAGAAGACATAGAAGAGAAAGAAAATGGGTGGAAAAGAGGGAATGGATTAGTAAAAAGGGACAGAAAAAGAATGAAGGAAGGACAGTACAGAAAGTGAGGATTAGTAAAGATGAAGGCTTTGAGTACGATGGAATGGGGAAGAGGGATGGGAGAAGAAGAGGGATAAGATTGAAGGTAGTAATGGCAAAGAAGATATTTTAAAAGAAAAGTGGAAATGAAAGCGATGGAATAAAATATGAAGGGATTTTACAGGAAGGATGTTAAACGAATTAATATTTTTTAAATTGATAATGTAATAATAATTTAAATTAGAAATTAAAATAAAATATAATGTTGAATGAAAATAAAATTTAAATTACAATAATATTATGCAATAAATATTTTCAGAAATTAATATTTTTTTTTATAACTGATAATGTAATAATAATCTAAATTATTTAAAGTCAATTAGTATACAATGATTCACATAGTATTATAAATTGTGTTTGTGTATATATAACTATTTTTATAATTATGTTGAATTATTATTATTGTTTTTTATTTGGTTAATGTATGTACATCGGTATATTCTAGTTTGGACAGGCACATGTTTTGATGACAATGTTTTCACTTTTTTCTGTCCTAATATTTCTAGAATATATCATTATATATAGTATTTGTTGATTGTTAAATTTGTTTAGAATTGTGGTGGGAGTTTGCATTATATAAATTGTATGATTTTATATAGGTAAAGGTAAGGGTGAATTGCGTATGGCCGTGGCCTGTGACTACCTAGCAGCCTTACAGAAGCGCTTTATTGATACCGAATAAATATAATAATAATAATAATAATAATAATAATAATAATAATAATAATAAAAGGAGAACATACTGTAAGTAGTGAAGGAATTGCAAAAGAAGAGGAATAAACACATCAATCAAAGATTAAATCCTTTTTGCAATAAAACATATAACGACGAAGTGAGTAAATTAAGATGTCAGAGTCCACGCTATAAACTTCAATTTAATCCGAATTTTATCTACTTCACCTAACAGTAATGCAATGAAAAATCTCTTTTTGGAATTCATGATCCAGATAAAGATTAATGAAATTGTAGAGCATTTTTTTTACTTGCTCACTCCATCATAACAATCCTACAGTATTAGTTCGGTAAGAATTAATGATGATGATAATAATAATAATATATAATAATAATAACAATAATAAGAATAACAATAATAATAATAATAAAAATAATCATAATGATAATAATGAAAGTATTGATCCTGTCTCTTATACACATCTAGATGTGTATAAGAGACAGGTCCTAAAAGTGGTCTTTAATTGGAGGGAGATCTGTAGTTTGTAAAGCAGTAGGCATGATATCCCTCCTATTACAACACAATGAACCTTGTATCTTGTATAACATATAATATGCTTTGTATTTATATCACTTTAAAAATAAAATTGGAAAGGTATGGTAAAGTACAGTTGAAACTAGATTTGAGCTCATAATTATCATCCTGGTTTAAAGAAACAGAATCCACCACAAACATTGTGCAACCTGCATCAATCCTTGTCATTCAGGAATACCCAGCACTAAACAAAATTTGCATTCAACAGAACCTTGTTGTCCCACCTTCAGCAAAACCAAATTAAACATTTGTGTCTAATATTACAGAATACAGTAGGGGTATACAGTATTGTACCCTACTGATACCCCCTTGCTGTATGTATAAGTATGACCGTTCCCTAAACACATCTCCGTGGTTAAATTTGCCAGATATATTGATTGGAATACCATCTCTGTTTTATTTGCAACAATAAAACAGAGAAAACTCTAATGTTTGAGGCATGTGATTTGAAAAGAAGGTCTGAAAAGAAATTTGTTGGAAAGAAAACCTAATGATAAAGGTGGTAGAGGTAGACCAAGATTGAAGTGGACAAACAACATCAAGGAATGGAGTCATATGCAGTGCAGTGATTGTGTGCAAATGGCTCGAGAGTGAAGAAAAATCTGGAGATCCATGATAGGCTCTGAGCAGAGGGCTCCGACAGAATGAAATGATTGCAATCATATCTTGCTCATTTCTAAAAAAGTGATATTTTATGAATGAATCTTAAAGATATGTGAAAAGATCATGTATTTAGGTCGCTGCAAGTGCTTTCTGCACACAACATTAATCCCAAGACCTTGCATCTAATGGAATTCTAGATCAATTTCTGTATGAATAATTGATACAAATACATAAATACATAACAGCTCCATAAATAATGTATAACCATATTCAATCCATGGACTCAGCATTAATAAAATCAATATAAAATAATAATTTATTATTACCTAAAGAGAAATCACATTTGTTAATAAATTATCAGTGTTATGATTAGTATTTATGTTTAATTTTTTAAATAATAAATAATAATTAAAATTTAGATATAAATATGTAACTTCATTATTATTATCAAAAATATTTTTATTTATTTTTTGTGTGTGTATTTTAGTATATCATATGATATGTTACCATCAATATTGATTAGAGGCGGCCACAATATTTATATCTATATAATTTTTAAGCCATGAAATACTCGCACCTAGGGTTGAAACATAGTGTGAGCCACTTCACGGCCTGTAAACAGTGCAAGCTGGGTAACTAAGCACGGGTGGCCGGGAATGGTCAGGGTGTGGCCTGAACCCTCGACGAGGTTCACAACCTGAATGGAAATTACTGCGCCAAACCGCCTTCCCCGTTATAACTATAATTAGACATACCTGTTCACAGAGTATATCACCAATCTGCTCGACAGGTTGGTTTTTCCCGCTCATTGTTTTTCTAACAAGCATCGCCCTGGGGAAAAGCAAGACAAAAAAAAACATACAAAGAATAATTATTTATGTCCTCAATTAACTCATGCTCTAGTTATTATTTAATGTAGGTTTTAGAAACGCGAGTGATTCGGGAATTTAATTATATGATGATTAGTTTTAAACATGATTCATAAACACAAAATATTGTGAGTACGTATACTGGTCTCGTCTCCAAGGACGTGTTTAATTGATTTCGGCCTGATACACAATACCGTAAGCACACATGAATTTACAACGATGCTTTGCGATGATTAATACAGACACATTGAGGAATATAAAGACCTTCAAAACAAGTTGCATACTCCTGCAGTATTAGTAATGAATAACAAAATAGTTTTTTTAGTATTCTATATACTCACACTACATATATATTTTGATTTTAGTCAGTAATTGTATAAAGATGTATTGAAAACAGGAGTTTGTGCACAGTGGCATACATAAGATTATTAAATTCAGGGAGAGGGAGAGAGAGAGGGAGAAGAGAGAGGGAGAGGAAGAGGGGGAGGGTGGTGGGGTTACAAGGATGTGAGAACTACTGTAAACTGAGATAATATGAGGTGATTTTTACCTAGAAGGAAGATAAGGGTGATCATTATTATTATTATTATTATTATTATTATTATTATTAGTATTGTATGGTAAATTTTAGACTTAGTTTAAGCAGACCATATGCTTTTTCCATATCATTATATACCATAATAATTATTCATTACCATTATTATTGTTATTGCTGCTTGTGATTGCCTTTTTTTTCACTTACTTGAGGAGTTTAGTATTGCACTGTATAAGTTCATTCCAATTCACAAAAAGCATCCCTAGCTCTTGAATCGTCAGACGCTTTTGTTCCTCAAGAGGCTTCTTGAAAACCTATGACATTATCATATATTCGATACAATGCACTAACATAAACATTGGAAAATATTATAGTAGAAATGAGGTTTATGACAAATATTTGGTCAAGAACAAGTTGGTGCAATCAAGGTAAAACATTCATAACAATCATATTCACTATATCATTATCAATGAGATATTCTCAACCAACAACAACAACAGTTCTTTTCAGAACAATCTACATGGTGTACCGCAAGCATTAATTATATATTATACTTCGCCATGCAAACCTTCAAACAATCATCATTATTGTTCTATCTGTTAACTCAAGGGGGGGGGGGAGTTTGGGTCGCCTCATCATTTCTCCTTATTCTCCTCTGTCATCAGTTGGTACATCATAATCGCAACTGCCATTATCATGATCATACATAACAACTGTATAATCATCATTAGTAGGCCTATAATCATCACCCTCACATTATCATCATTGTCATAGTATGATAATATACAATGGCTAATAAAATATTATTATAGATATTTACATCATTATCCCTGGCAATCATCATTAGCATCATCACCATCAACTGAATCATTGACCTTCATCTTGATCATCATAATCGTCATCACCATCATCATCATCATCATCATCAATCATCATCATTATTAGCATCAACTACCATCATCTGTTTAATTGTTAAAACATTTTCTTACATAGTGAACATCATCATAGCATCATCCATACCAACCCCACGACCAACACCACAACCTTCACCACCTTACCAGCACCACAGCCACAACCATCATTGGTACCCTCACAGTCAGCTTACTCTATTGCCAATTATAAAGGAAACCATCAACGACCTACCTCAACTACCAGAACCATATCATCAACGTAGGACTGCATAATTGTTAAAACATTTTCTTACATAGTGAACATCACCATAGAATCATCCATTCAACACCACAACCTTCACCACCTTACCAGCACCACAGCCACAACCATCATTGGGTACCCTCACAGTCAGCTCACTCTATTGCCAATTATAAAGGAGACCATCAACAACTTACCTCAACTACCAGAACCATATCATCAACGTAGGACTTCTCGGTGTCTAGCAGTTCATGAATCCGACTCTGTCTCTTCTGCTCCGTCTCTGACATTGCCTCCAACAAATATATATCCTTACACCCTGCAAAAAAATACAACTAATAATATAAAACTAATCACGCAGAAAGGACAATGGTCTTATCATTACACCCATCAAGAAATAGTCCACAATAATAAAGCGTATCAGTGAGAAAAAAATTATTTCATCCTATGCAGAATCAAGCTCAGTAAAATTATTTTCAAGGATGTAGCATCAGAATATAGCATTAAATTTGTATTACTCAAGTACCTGTAATGCGATATTAATACAAGGTGGCAATTCTATAATGCATATACCATCTGCTCATAATTATCAGAGCAGAATAGTACTGTAGCAGTTATAATTAAATTCTCAAAAAAAAAAATATTAAAATATATATGTGGAGAGGTGTGAGTAGGTATGTGCTGTGTTGTCCATAATATATAATTGAATGTTATTAGTAACATTGACATACCTGCTTGAGAAGGCATATGTGAATGGGGTGAAAGGTTATGAATAAATTATAATTATTAAGTGATTAGGATGGATGAGTACATAAATGGTTTTGTAGGTGAGTGGATGTATGAATCCACATGAATTAATTATGGAATGAATTTGTAGATAAATAAATGCATTGATGAGTACATGAAAGTATGAATGAATGAATGAATGTATAAAATAAATGAATGGATAGACGAAGGAATAGAAAAAAATGAATAAATGGGAAATTACTAAATGGATAGGTAAAATGAATGGATGGATAGGTAGATAGATAATAAATGAATGAAAATAATAGATATGTGGATTATTAATTGAATGAATAAATGAATGAAAAAAATGAATGAATGAATGAATGAACAAACGAACGAACAAATTAATGGATAGTTAATTGAATTGCTGGAAAAATGAATACATTGATGGATAGATGAATAAATAGATGGATAGAAGAATAAATTAGATAGATAATAAATAAATGAATGAAAATAATGGATATGTAGATTATTACGTTAATGTTTAAATGAATGAATGAATAAATGAATAAATAAATGAATGAATAGGCAAATGAATGGGGAGATAATTGAATTGCTAGAAAAATGAATGCATTGATGGATAGATGAATAAATTAGATAGATAATAAATAAATGAATAAAAATAATGGATATGTAGATTATTACAATGATTTTTAAATGAATGTATGAATAAATGAATAAATGAATAAATGAATAAATGAATAAATGAATGAATGAATTAATTAATTAATGAATGAATGAACGAATGAATGAAATAATGAATGAATAAATGAAAAGTAACAAATGAATTGGTTGATAATTGAATTGCAAGAAAAATGAATGCATTAATGGATAGATGAATAAATAGATGGATAGAAGAATAAATGGATTGAGCGGTGAATATATAATATCAGATAACTGGATGGAGACTCAAAATATAAACCAACAAATAAATATTAACCAATACATAAATATTAAATAGAAATTAAAGAAATGAATAAATTTTATAAAATAAAAAAATAATCTAACAAATATGTAATTAAAAGAAATAAGATAATAAAAGTATCAAGCAAACCGAGAGTGTCAAAATAATCAAATATTTTTTATTAAATATTTGGAAGTTCTTAAAGGAAATTCTATTAAATTGTAACTCAGAATTTCCCTCCATGTTTTCTTGCCCTGTATAATTATCCATTTTTGATCAATGAATGGACAATAGTTGAAACATACAAATAGATGAAATTATGCATTATTAAAAATAAAACATATATTGCAAACAATTTCTATATATATAAATGCAATACTATGCGTCTGAATTAGACTTAACGGCAATGACCTACCATAAATATATGATTAATGGTCCTACATAACTTCCATAACAAACAGAAATATATCTAATGAAACTATGTTTCAACACTATGTAGAAAATAATATACTTACATATAAAATCATTCGATAAGAGTAAAGATCCAAACCATGGTAGAAAAATCTGATATTCAGTTAAAATCTAAGCTATCATCCCTCTGAGCTTTACATGTACCATAAGACCACTACTCATTTCAAATCTCAACATATTAAGAATCCCATCATGCACGGCAGTCTACGACAATCATGTAAATGCATCCAGAGGTGAACTGAGTGTCAACTAACGGCGCGGTTAGCAAGGGATTAGGACTGCATCAGAGGTAATAAAACTGATGAGATATGAAAAGCTACACTCAAGCCCTTTGTAAGTTAGCAGTTCATTATCGGTTCGATCACCATGAATTTTGAAAAAGAAATGTGGTCATGTCGTGCGAGTTTTTCTCTGACACTGTATTAGATTATACGGCACCTGGTCTGAATATGAATTAGTAAGCTTAGAACAGAGTTCAATCGGAAATTACTGCTTTAAATTGACAAAATTGTAATTTGATTTTTTGCATTTGTATTTTTTATTATAACTTGTTTCTTACATTCAGTATAATATNNNACAGGAAGTATGAAAATTAACTTAGAAGCGGGAAAAAATGTGATTTTTTTCCCCTATTCAAATTTTTTATTTATTTAAATAGTTATTATCATTAATATTAATACTATTATTATTTAGTATTTATATTAATCTTATTCTGCTCAAATAATTTTAATTTCAACTGCAGAACTCAAGAATCCTCCATTGTGATATATATATTTTTTTTACTCAGATGCTATAGCATTTGCATTTGTACATTTTATATACTTATTATCATTAATATTATTGTTATTTCTTAGTAATTTTATTATAATATATTTTGCTCCCATAATTTCAACTGCTAAACTCATCAAGTATTCGCCACTGTGATATCTAATGTCAAATTAATTCATAACAGAATTCAGAAAATGATTAATAATTGCTGGATGATACCTCATTTGATCTGGTTCATAAATTAATACATAACAATGTTTTCATGGTATTTCATAGCTACACTTATTTACTAAATATATTACTAGCATAAGGTTTTAGAAATACAATACATTATCTTAACTAATAATAATGATAATCAGGATATGCAGTGGCGTAGGCTGGTTTGGCCTGGGGTTGCTGAAATTTAGAATGCGAAACTAAATTTCTATTCTGACTACAACTCAATGTTGTCCTCTTTATTTTTATAAGCAAATTAGCTAAACTAATTTGATACCATGGGGGGGGGGGGGGGGGCTTAGATGTATATGACACATTGTGTCATGTTGTGTCTATTTACACATGGTACTGTGTATCTCTAAGATATAGAAACCTGCTTAGCTCCTTGATAAAATGAATAACTCTACTGTAATCTTTATACTGACAAAATGTATGTTCCTTACTATGTCTCCATTATCACAGAAAATAAAAGAAATAATCTTACCATTTATTTGAAATATTTCCAAATTAAACCACGTTTACGACACCAAGTTAGACTTATCCTGATCGATATAATACCCAAAGGTCAAAGGTAACAGTGGTAATCAAACTTCAGTACAGAGCCATCAGTATGCCAGTACTGTTATGCTACCAATGGTAATGTACCATCAGAAACACTGGTAAACCTTAAGTAAGCCAGTAAATGCCAATTCTGCCACATATAATAGTAAACATCAGTAAAGGCAACACTGATAAATGGTCCACAATAATTAAATTAGTAAATGAAACCACTGTTCAGTCAGTAAGAATCCGCAGTACAAAAGCTAAGCTATGAAACGCAGCTGAATACTAATTATCCAATGGCTCGTTAATAACAAAGAGACTGATTTGCAATCATTGATTCTTATTGATTTATCAATTAGTGGTGTGATTTGCATTCCAATCTGTAATACTTATTGATTAGTTCACGAATAATTTACATATTTCTAATATTGTGGATGTTTAGCGGACAATGATATTTTGAGCGAGAGAATTAAACCAACTGTGAAGAAGATACGAAACAGGAAGGTCAAAGATGCACTGTCTGGTTTGAATTGATTACTTGGTATATTTTAAGTAAGTTATTAGCATTCAATAGATATATATGAAAAGAAGGTTTGGAATCGATGTCGAATTATGAAACGTGTAGGCTTAAAACCTTGACTTCTGATAATTAGTGTCCAAAGTTTACTACAAGCACGTAAAATATATGATCCATTATCATTGTTATATGTTTTTCATTATAATGTTTTTCATTATAATTGTACGCTCCTTCGGACCTCTTTGCTTTTCTTCCTTCTTCCTGTCTCTTTTGTAGACTTCAATAAACAATACTTATTGCTTTGTTTCATTTAAATAGTAATTAATATTATTATAAAATTAAATGATTATTTCCTTTATATATTGTATTTTTCAAATAAATACTTCAACAATTATAATTAAATGTAAACTCTAATTGTAAATTTACGTAGATTAGATCAATAGAAAATGGACATAATAATCCTTATCTATTCAGTATTAAGAATAACATTTTTTTAAAATCTTCTAATCAATTTTATATAGCTGGGGTTAGTTAGTACACTATCTCCATCAAAAGGCTTCTTCTGAGAATGGAATGACCTGTTCAATTTTTATTTATGCGGGAAATATATATTCATCACAATTACTTGGTATACACTTTAAGTAAGCTATATAGCATTCAACAGAAAATACAAATTTTCAGAAAAATAATTTCCTATACAATTTGCAATCTAAATCTCAATTAGATGTTTAGGGGGTGGAGTTGTTATGGTTGTGATCCTACACACTGACAGGAATTGAACCCAGGACCGTGGGATGGAGGGCAAGCATCTTAACCACCAAGCTATTGAACGCCATTTATATATAGTCTTAGCATATAGGCCTACCCTTAATCTGGCTAATAATTTTTTTTTTTTTTTTTTTAATATGACATCAAAAATACAGAACAAGGCCCCACACATTTAGTGGTACCTCTTTAATTTGGAAATTTTAAACTAAAATCTGTACATATGTGAAAAATATATATCGTCTCATTGATTATTCTGTCATTTTGATGAGCATTATTTATAAGTGACTTGGTCTTAATGCCATACTTTACAAATACTGTAAGGAATAATATGAAATTATTATTTTTTGCCTGTAAGCTTAAGAATCCAAGTCAGTTTCCTCTCAATAGTATAACTAGGAATTCAATGTGCTAAAAGGGAGTGATTTTTTAAGTTCTGATTTTAATAGACATAATGAATTTTTTTATAATGTAAATTAATCAAATTAAATAGTGTGATAATTGCTTTTAGTAAATTATAACTGGTAGGATAAAGAATTGTATATATAAAAAATTAAATGCAAATATTGTTTAAAATAAACTAAAAATAAATAATTACTTTAAAGTAAATACTTTTACATAACACCGACACCGATACTATTAACGTCAATTTCATACTTTATTTGACCATCAATTTTAAGGTTAAAATCCAAACCTTACCTTCACTGTGTTTATCATTAATTTGCATGTTTAAAATCAAAACACTTTATAACCATTACAGTAATTTTATTTGGTTGATTTATTAAACACTGCCCTCTATGTGATCCACCTTGAGGGGCCACTCCCCTTTTGTGACAAGTTTTAGAATTATAGGGTTAAGAGTTGCAACAATGAATTCAGAAAAAAATATATATACTGTATATTGAAGCTAAAATAATGAAGTCACATCCAAATTACATCAGGTTTTTAATTTCTTTGTATCCCACAATCAATTTATTTTACCATTCAACTTTAATTCATTAAATATTACTGTTGTTAAATGTTAATAAAATCGCAAGCACAGGCATTTTGGTGAGAATATCTAATTGAAAAGTGTAATATTCTCTTGTATCAGGTTTCAAAACCAGGGTATATAAAAATGAATCTGACACCACCCCATGGAGGTGCCTTGATATACTATACTGCCCTCTTGTGACAAGTTTCATAATTAGAGGGTTAACACTGATATGAACACTGATGAAATTCCTATTCACTAATACTGCAATCATGTATTTGACAAGTTTTAACACAAGAGGGTTAAGGAGTATCACAAGAAATTAAGACAATTTACTTTGCTTTGATAATAACAGTTAATTTGTATAACAATCAGCAACATAAAGGAATTATATCTTAGGTACTGAAATGAAGTAAATCCATATCATAATACTAACTACTCAATTACTAAATGTAAGAAATCCAACATCTTGATGGAAAGTCAAATCATATATCTAATAGCTAATTACTACATTTATATGGTAAAATATATAATTTAACAAGATATATATATAAATACATATTTATAAGTTTCTAATAGATAAAGCTATTGAATTCATTATGTTTATTTATAATAGAAATAGCCTATGTTATGAATGTGTACTGTGTAAGTTATTTATTCTATTTGCTAACCTGAATCAAATTATTATTTTTTTAATAGTTGTCTATTCTGAAGTGATTAAGAGCTAATTACATCATCAACATAGAACAATAAATGTAATTGCTAAATAAAATGATATATAATACAAACTTAAATTCATTTTGATTTTTACACATTTTAGATAAAACTTGGAATAGTATGGTAAATATTCTGACTATGCCTTCATCAGAAACATACAGTTTACACACATTGTATATTAAAGGCATAATCTTTTTTAAATGTCAAAATAAAAAAAAAATTAAAGATGTAAAATATGATAGATATTACGTATCAAAAATGCTTGAATATCACCACAATTTGAATACAATTTTAAGCACCAGTGCATTCCAGGTAAGGTCAAGGGTTACAGAAAAAAGACACAAACAAATACAGAAGGTAGCTTTGGACATTATATGCAAGTTGCAATCTTTCTCCATTGCTATTATCATATATAACCAGAAGCAAGTCTTAATAAGCATGAATAAACATGAGTGGCTGGAATACCTACAGAGATATCTATATTGAGAACGACCGCAAGTTTTCAGTATTGGAATGGGAATGCTTTAAGGTTGAACAATATGCATTGAGCTAAAACAGAATGCAATCAATAGAAGCGCAAATGAATATTTCAATTTCCTTAAATGGTGTTTATAGTTTTGCATGAAAGATAAATTCAAAAAAAATCTTTTAGTAATATCAAAATCGAAATAATACTTATGATACCCTGACTCACAAAATGATATATATAAAATAATAAGTAGTAAAATATTATTTAAGTTTAATACTAAAAATGTGTCAATCACGGAACTGGATACTTAATACTATCATCACATAGAAATAATAATTATTATGAACTGCTAATTTCATTATAAATGAAAAAAAAAAAAATAATAAAATACGTTAAGTTTACAACATATTTCATCTAATATATTATAGGTCTTGTGTTTTGCAATAGGAGCAAAATTTTCTATTTATATATTTAATGTTAAAATTTTGTAGAGTCTCGCAGTCTTTTTTCTGTCCTTTGGACATTTGATAATTTTAAAAATTAAATTCAATATTTGTTTGATGTTTTATTTTTGACGATGTTTGATGTTTTTATTTTGACGATCATGTAAGTTATCTATATGATGAATAAATCGAACCTTGAACTGAAATATAGTATGGTACATTTTCAAACTATTTCTTGTACACTGTTCTAATTGCTTTTGATTGCATGTTCACATAACAGAATATAAGACATAGACAAAATAACTTTACTAAAGATAAGTTACAAAATTTACTTGCCTAGTTATTTAGTGAATTATCATATGATGCATTTCATAACTTTTCGTGTAACTGTAACTAATCACATAAATTCCACCTAAAATGAAACCCCAAAACACTTCAGTTTGTGCTAAAAAAACAAAAAAACAAAAGAACCACAACCCACAAAAAACCTTTCAAAATATTCCCATCACAACCAATTGATTTTGATATTTTTGATCACATCATTGCATTGGGACACACATAGGAAGCGTTAAGTGTTGTTATAAATTCTGTTTGTCTTGCTCTAACATCTCCAGACAACATAAACTCAAAAAGTATTAAGTTTGACGTAAAAGATTGTAAGCCCTACAGTGCTCGTGAAGCGGGAATATATATTAAGCTAATTCAAGCGTCCTTCAAACGAACTACTCCAAAAAATTTCAATAGTATAGTACTACTTATGCGTAATCAAGGTAAGAAGTGTTAACTCAGCGTATGCTTGTGTAGATACTTTCGTATGAGCTCACAAGTTAATATGACCTACAATATGACCTACTACTTGTGAGAGCCAAAACAGCATAACTGTAATTTGTTAACATTTATATAGCCACGATGTTTTCATATTTGTGTTCAATTTCAAGAATTTATGCAAAATGACTATTGTAAATCAACAAGAATGGTTTTTATGATTTATGACAATTTTGCATAAATTGCTAAGCTTTGAAGTAGCAAAGCTATACTCTAACCATTCTTTAAGGAAATCGAACAAGTTGTTGGTACCACGTTTGCCCAAAAATACCAGTTTAAACTAGATTTAACTAGGTTAAACTGGATTAAACGAGATTAAGATATTAATGTATTTGGTTTTTTCAATAGCTCACAAACATCAATATTAATGTTTTTCATCCTGTTGGTTTTATTTATGAATTTTTCAGCCAATTTTTGGGAATCTAAATGTTCATGAAACACAGATAACTTCTAACAAATACTGAATATTTAATACTATATTTTCATTTTAAATTTGATAACCAAATTTAGGAATTTGATACAATAATGCTGCACCTTCTATAATTAAACATAACATAAAACATATGTAAGTATAACCAGTAAAAACGTGTTTAGTTTGATACACAGCAAATAGGAATTCAATAGGTATCCAACTTATATAAATATTTATATTATATAAATCTTTAGTGAATAATTCTAAATGTTGAATTGCATTTTGTGTACAAGCTGTATCGAGCTGCTCCTTTTTAAGGAATCCACTTGATCTAGTTTCATTTTTGAGTGAGTGTCTTTTTGTTATTAAGTTTGTTAAAATATAGTACCAAAAAAAAACCTGCCAATCATTGGCCTCAATATCAATCAATCAATCAAGTAACTGTTTGATCTATAAGAAACCACTCCACGTGCATAGTGATAAAAGAACATGATGCTCGAAAGCTAGTGGTGTGCCAAATCTAGTATAATGGTACTAAAAATCTATTGCACCCTCTACACATTATGACAGGCATTGCTTGCGGTACTAATGTATGCTAATGATCACAAAAACACTAACGGTGGAATAAAGTACTTAAATCTAGATGGAACAATAAGTTTACAATATTTACTATACAGAACTATATGTTATTTTACATTATTATTATTATTACTGCTATACATGTGAGATTCCTTCATTCATCACTTTACATATATACTGAAAGATAGTATGAGATCATAGCCTATAAGTGAATGATACAAAATCAAACATTTAAATAAAATTAATATTTATCTATTTTCCAAGTATGTCAGGGTTGCTAAACAAAAAAAAAAAAATTATTATTAAACTTTACACATATTTCATAAACATTTGTTTTAGTTTAATTTGAACACGAGTTCAGGCAATTATGTATAATATCTTTATTAACTTTTGTTGCAATTTGAGTGTTTTATGCCTAATAAATGAAAACAAAAACCATCATAAATAATAATTAATTATTCAAAAGTAATTTAACAACTTATTGTTATTCAGAAATGTTCCATGTTAATATATTAAAATCAAAATCTAAATTTATTAAAAACTAAATGTATATATTAATGGGTCTCAGTAATTTCAAGATTCAAATAAAAGATGTCTTATTTTGCTTTCAATATATTTTCTTCCAATCATCAGTATTTTCAGTTTTCAGCCAACAAAGATTCAGCAAAAATCTAAACAATTATCACTTTTTTTTTACCCTTATTTGGAGTACAGATAAATCAACCTCGTTATTTTCTTGCATAAATTAATATCAATACTAAGTATCCTTGACAATTTGATAGCAGGTTCAAAGGTTGATTTCATCAGTTCTCTCAGTTTTTTCTAAATTTCTCAAGAAAAATTTTAAATAAACAATGCTCATTTTGTTCTGGAGATGCTTTTGATTGAAACAACCGACCCACTACCAAATTTTACAGTTAGGATACATTCTTAAAAATGTTTCCATTGTAAATGGATATCAGTTAATTAGTTAATATTCCAGCACCAGTGTTTTATTTTTGTTTGGTTACTTCCCATGGTTCTTCCTGTTGGGTATATAGGCCATCTTGCATCACGGCTAGCAGGATTAAAACACATCCAAGAAATGTATTTCCTAACTCAAATTTGGTAGTGAGTCGTTTGGTGAACTTAATGATGTCCTAAAAAATAGAGAATAGAGATAGGAAGAGTGTAAATGAGTTGCAAAAAGAGGGAATTAGAAGAAGAGTTTGCTCTCACACTAAAGATAATAGTACTGAATTACAAACCAATATTAACAATATACACAGAAATAAAAACTCCCTCAAATATTTAAATACAGATAATTTGGATAAGGTTTCTCCAGTGTCAAACACACACAATGTTGTGTGGAATGTGCAGATGTTCAGTAATTCAGGTATGGAGAGAGTGCAGGTGGTCAGTCATACCTGCATTACAAAACACTTAGGCTATGTTATCACACGGCAGCTAACGGTTAGCAGGATTCGGATCCAGCTAACCGTTAGCTGCCACGCGTCCACGCGAAAAATCCTGATCCGGATACCAACAATATGATGATCGAATCACTGGCCAATAAGAACCTGGAAATTGTAAACGCGTACGTGTGATTGGTTGATGATAGAAACGCCCTCAACTTGCTAACCGATAGCGCTTGCTAACCATTAGTGTATCCGGATACCGCTAACGGTTAGCGCTAACCGATCGGGCGTTCTCACGCAGGTGCTGGTGGTTAGCGCTAACGGTTAGCTCCCGATCCGGATACTAGGGCTCTTGTGAGAACCAGGCTACAATGTTGTGTGGAGTGTGCAGATGTTCAGTAATTCAGGTATGGAGAAAGTTCAGGTGATTAGTCACACCTGCATTACAAAACACTTATTCTAGCCACACACCTGGAATATTAAACACCGACTCCGGACAGCTGTATTACTAAACAACTGGACTATCCAAACACCTGAATTACTGGCCACCTGGATTCACCATACACCAGAGCATTACTGACCCCACAGAATCTCCATTTGTGCTTTCTCTCACTTAAATGTTATGGTACTTACTTCTTGCCTATTATTCCAGCAATATGTTCTTCCTGCTCACTGGTATGAATGTAAACTATAGATTACAAGCTATTAATGGCAATCTATGATAGAAGCTTGTTTATGATTACACCTATCAGAAATAAAGTATACATAAGCCTGGCTTCCATGAAATCGCTACACTCGCGCTAACATTTTTTTTACAGAGATCGCTGCACTAGCGTAGCAGTCCCGGATGCAATTGGGGACTGCTACGGCTCCCCGACACTACCAACCAGCGATACCATGTGGTGATTTTGTGGAAACCAAGTTTAAGCTACCGTGCAATGGGCTTAACCTTAAGCTTTATTCGCACTATCAAAATGACAAAAAACTGTAGTATGCCCATATATAGTCATGATGTGCCCATATATAGTCATGATGTGATGTCATCATGACCATATTTATGCATGTCACATGGTTTTGTTTTTTTTGAATGCAACAATCACAATACTAGCGCTAAAACAAGCAATGTTAAACATAATGAAGATTTACTTACAGTCGTTATTAGGTGTTGAGTCGTTCAGTACTTGTACGTAATTGGATGGGAAGTACCCTGTAGTGCCGTTTAACTCTCCCTCCCACCAATCGGGGTCGTCCTGCTTCATCACGTTAATCACTACGTTCTTCTGGAAGGTGAGTTCGTCATCCTTCTGACTTGTGTACGGGTACATTGCAATGACTTGGCAGACTAGGCAAATAGAGATGGTAAAGCTACTACAATGTCATACACAACATTTACAGTATGATGTAATACAGACAGTGTGAAAGCTATTGTTATGTCATATAGTGAGGTGAAAGCTATGATGTCATATATGTACAGCATTATGGTAAACAGCTATTGTGAAATCTATGATGGCATGATACAGCTTCATTATGTCCTATAGCTAGTGTGAAAGCTGTCAAAGCTACAAGTATGATGTCATATTGCTAGTGTGAAAGTTATGTCATACAGTTACAATATGATGTCATATAGCTACATTATGACGTCATAAAATACAGTATGCTATACGGGTAGTATGATGATGTCATATTATTGTGATGCCATATACAGTAGCTGTACGGTATGTCATATATGATGTCACAAGTAATATGATGCTATAAAGATAGTATGTCATAATATGATGTCATATATTATGTCATTCAGCTATATGTCACCAATTTAATATGTACATTAGCTAGAATAACATTATAAACCTCTCAAAAATTAACTTTATTTTTCCTTCTTTTTTTGGTAGGGTTAACTCATCATGGGCATTGAAAAAATAAACATTCTGAGCTCAACATCCTTTGATTGGCTTACAGGCCTGCTGACACTAAATACACTCTGTAGTGCCCACCGGTTGCAATACAGTAATACTTAATGCTTTGTCCACACTATCAAATTAACTCTGACAAAAAACTATTGTATACCCATATATAGTCATGATGTGCCCATATATAGTCATGATGTGCATATATATGGTCATGATGTGATGTCATCATGACCATATTTAGGCATGTCACATGTTTTTGTCCAATAAAATTTGATAGTCTAGACAGGGCTTTAGGTATGCTTTTAAAACTTACTCATATTTGCAGCAGGAGTGGTGGCTCTCTGAAAAAACCCAAACATTAAAATGATAATAATATACAAATGCAGTAATGCATCTAATAAACTTATAAACGACATGTTCCAACATGTCCCACGTCATCATCAGGTAATAATGCTTACGCTACTAACGGTTTAAATACTACCGGTCAGATATCACTATCTCATTCTCATTCCTATACACATGACTTTATACCATAGTATTCCTGACCTCTATATATATGACTTACCTTAATATTTGCGTTTCGTCTTACATCTGACAGGCAGTATTTAAACCGTTAGTAGCACAAGTGTTATTACCCGATGATAACGTGGGACATGTCGAAACATGTCGTTCATAAGTTTCAGATAATAATACAGTGATGACAATGACCATAATTTTATTTTCAATGTAATATTGTATAGACTAAATACACTAAACAATGTAAATATATTGATACAAAACATTTCAATGATTAAATAAAATAAAGTTATGAATTATGGATCAATAAAATAATGTTTCTGTTAATGCCTGATCTAGATAATATAAATTCTGCAATCAATTAACAATGAAATTAAATATATACACATTTTCAAGTATTAATATTTACATTTAGAAAACATACTTACCACATCAAGTGTCAAAGGTGAAGTTGCACCTTGTAGTGGAGTTGTCTTGCCACTTCCACCTGAGGTCAACAAGGTCACATAATTTGCTGGGAACCAGCCTATCTGTTTCTTCTGTCCTCGTATCTGTCAATAAAATGAAATTACCCAGCACATTATTACAAAAATCTTTGGGGCTAATGATAGTCTATGACTGAGAAACGAATAATTATAAGGTAAGCATACCCTTCAAAAATAATGGAACATCCGTAATACATTGAGATACTTCAAAACATTACTATTACTATTATTGACAATTCTTATAACGTGAGTGTACCCTCAAAACATAAGCATCAGTAATTTATATATTGAGATACTTTAAAACATTACTCATAAATTTTTATTTATATTATTGTAACAGTACCACCTACGAAACAGCGCCACCTAGGCATTAATGACGCACCTGTTGTTCACCTTCCCACCAACCGCTTGGATTTTTCTTGCGTATTTGAATCATTTGCCCAACACCGAGTGTAAGCTGTTCAGGTCCAGTACCCTGGTAAGGTGCAATGACTTTTGCAATCTCTATATAAACAACAATAACAACCAATCAGTGACCTTCTTTTTGAGCATGTTGTTGTTAGATTAGTAATGAACGTACAACTTGCAATTATTAAAGTACATAGGTTTTTATATTTGGGGAATACTGGCACAATTTAGAACCATCAAAATATCCATAGCAGCCTGGGTGAATAAACATTGAAATCTCTTAACGGTTCATAGCAACATTCGTATCAGCAAAATGCAAAGTGAATTCAAATTAAACTAAAAAAAAAAAAACCCAATCATTATTAACCAAATATTCAATTTAGCAGAACCCCCTACCCTTTCTTGGGACACCCCTATTGGGGACACTCTTTTTGGACATGAAGTGAGGAGAATCTATCTTTAACAATATGACCAATTCCGCTATTCAGAGAACACACCTATTAAAGGGAAAAATTTTTTTGGTCTCAATGGAGTCCCTTAGTAGGGGTTCTACTGTATTATTAAAGGTATGAACATATCTAGAATAAAAAATTTAAACAAAAAGAATAAATGAGTTAATATTGGAAGGTAATGTTCTAATTCAGAATCTTTTTAAGTATCTGCATCTTAACCCCACATCCGATTAAGGTAGAAGGTAAATGTTTAAATTCAAAGTCTTTAGGTTTCTGTATCTCAATTAACACCTGTGGTCATATTATGTATTGTCAGACATGAAAATTCAAAATTTCAACATTGGAAATCCACAAACAAAAATACACATTGTCATATAAAAGCTCATCCAGATAAGTATTCATTAACTAGACATACAAAGTAACAAAAATACTTTCGTAACTTAAGGTCTGTTTACACTATCAAATTTTAAGTGACAAATATCACATTTATTTGTCGCATAAAATTTGATAGTACGGACAGAGATTTAATCCCTTTTTTTTAAATATTTTTTTTTTATGATTGAGAAGTAAGATGGTTAGTGTGAACACAATGCAACATGCCTTTCTTTGGTAATGTTCCTCCTTTTGCAGTGAAATCAGGCAAGGATGGTGCCAGTTTTTGCTTACCGCCCTCGGCCTTCTGGACGTAGTTCGACGGGAAAATACCTGTCTGATCGCCTATTCTACCTGTCCACCACTCGCCCTCAGTACTGGTAACATAAATGGTTTCATTTGCTTCAAAGTTAAGATCTCCTGGTTCCTCCGAAGAGAATGTGTATAGTGTGACATATTCTGAAAATAAAAACAAAAATTATCATCATTAAATATGCAAGATTTTTGATTGTTACATTATTTTAATGGGTACTTTATTTTTCCATCAAATAGGTGTTTTTATTTTGTCATCAAATGACCAAAATTATCAATATTAATAAAGCCATAATCTATGCTTTTGTAAAAGAAATAATCTGATTTTATATTTTAAGTACAATATTGTACAGTACTTTTGTTTTTCATATTTTTGTTTCCATTGGTACTGTTTCAGTAGCATGAAAACACGTGTGTTTACATACGATGGGCCAGCGACCTAAAGAAATAAAAGGAGGACAAGTTTGCGTCCAAATGGTAATACACGGAATGGAACTTTCCAGAACGTCAATCAAACTCTACAACTGACCAATCAGAACAGTGTTTTGTGGAACCTTAGCAACAATATCCGAGGGGTGTGTCTCAGCTGAAAGTTCAATTAACAAAACTTGACCCACAAACAATGTCAACTATTTGACACAATATTTTCATGATATTGGGTAGGTTGTGATTGGCAATCATATTTTTTTTTTTTTGGCCTGATGACTGATTTTGGTTTATGTGCTGGTGACAATGTAAAATAGGAAATCTGTACTCCACTTACCGACTTCTGCATTAGCTGGAGTGATTGTTCTCTCAACCTTATCAACATTTATTTCTGGTGCATTAGTTTTTCTGTGGAACAATATAGTTCATCAAACTGTTACTATAATCTATAACTGTAATCAATAAATTACTTCTAATACCAGAGGTGGGAAAAAAGGCGAGAAAAATGCAATCGGGTTGAGAACTTGAGGAGAAGAATTATAATTCTAAAGATATATAACATAATTACTCTAATTGTTACTAATAACACTCTGCCCATCAAATACGGAAATCTCTGTGTTTGGTAACGCAACGCTTGACCACCAAACACGAGATCTCCGTGCTTCAGGTTTTTTTTACTGAATTTGGGGTAATTACCGAAATGTATTTGTTTTTTTACACTTGAGCGTAGTTTTCACAAAAGTTGCGATTATCTCAGCTTTGTTGTGCGAAATTGCGTAAATCTTCAAAAGTGAGTCATTTTCATTTTACTGTTACAGGTCACAGCTTGTGATTAGAATAAAGTGTTTGGTACCATTGTAAAGCTAAGATGTTGTAGTAAGTTCTTGTAGTATTCACTACATGTCAATCTGATCACATACGCACTCTCGACGAGCTTCCGAAAAGTGTTAAAATTCGCTAAAGAGTCTGGCGGTGGCTCATACTATTTGTTCAAACCCCTGGCGGTCAGAGTGTTAACCTAATATGATATTCACTGAATTTCTATTTACTTGAGGACAAAATGGTGAGAAAATGCAATTGGGGAGGAAAAGCTGAAGATCTGTTTATAACAATGAATTAAACTTTTTTAAATTAGATACAAACCAAGACATAGCAAAACAAAAAGAATCCTTCTGAACAGTCTTTATTCACCTTTTTTTTTTTCCTAATCATTAATTAATATATTATTATTATTATATTTTTTTTTGTTTTTTCCCCCCCGGCTTTTTACTTTGTGTTCTTGACTTCAATATTTTCTAGCGCATAGAGACCTCGTTTATTTGCACTATATAAATCCATCTATTATTATTATTATTATTATATTCCTAAAAAAATTTAAAAACAATAATCGTACACTTTATTTGGTGCTGCAATGAGCTTGACGTTGGATTTTGGAAACCAGCCTTCTTGTCCGTTAACTTTCCCGTACCACCACATCTCTTGTTGCTCGGTTACCGTTATGATGTCACCTTTCTCAAATGACAAGTGGTTGTCTGTTTTGGCCTTCCATACAAAAACTGCTTGTGCATACACAGCATTGGAGTTAACAGTTGACAACTGAAAGATTATTATTATAGAATTAAACGATGAAAATTCAACTAAAATCTATTATTATATTTTAACAAGTAAAAGTAAGTTACAAATTTCTAAACAAAATTACTTATCTAATTTTTAGTAGTTTAATACTGTTTGACAAAATCTATGTATTTTTATCACAATTACTGTTATTCTAAGTGTATATCATTCACTATAGCTAATATAAGACAATGCGTAGAGCTTTTCACAGTATGTCAAAATATCTTTAGAGGACTCCCTACAAATTGTCTTCTATAGTGTAGAGAACCCTCTTTAGTATGAAACACTGGGCATGGCTTACCTCTGGTGCTGTTGTTTCTGATGGAACAACTTGCTTGAAAGGTGAAGAACTGACTGGTGATGATTCTAGTTTTGATACCTCTAAGGGTTTTGGAGCTCCAAGAGTGTCATAAATACTATGTAATAAATACAATTAATAAATTAAAGATTTTATGCCCAAAAATTTGGATTATATCTACAATCACAAAGATGATACTTAACTTTACACCATTTTGCTTAGGCCAAGAAAAAAAATTCCTGTGTTGACCACGTATTGGGAAAATCCAAAAAATGGGTAGGTAGGTTCATATGAAAAGTTTTCTTTTTAAAAAAAAATCTATATTTAAAAGCAAAATGATCGCATAACATTGTCACAGCACCTACCTTCCAGCAAGATGTCTTATTCCAGCCTTCTTAGCTCATAAAAAAAATACAAAAATTTTTGTTGGGCTGGTCAAAAAAAAAAAAAATAAATAAATAAATAAAATTTTGAACCTCAATTTCATACTTTTTGTGTGGGTAGGGCATGGCTAACACAATAATTTTTCTTTTTATTTGGCCTGAATACATCGAATGTTACTGTTCTCAACATGAATGTAGGTCATGTAAGCAATACACAACCTACATTCTTCCAATACTTCATTATATTAAGTTATTAATTTTCATTTGTAATCAATCATCATAATTGTATCCATTCCTGTCTAAAACAACCAAAAAAAAAAAAAAAAAACCAAAATATTTGTCAAGGTGGTCTAATGATATGTACCTTTCTTGTGTTGTCTGTGGTTGGCTACCAAAGTTAGCCCAACCACCATCAGAACTACCAGTTCCAAAGTTGTTATCTGTTCCAAAAGTATTATCAGTTCCAAAATTACTATCAGTTTTAAAGTTATCAGTACCAAAATCAGCTTCAAAAGTATTTGAAATGCTGTTTGAAGTGGGAAATGCTTCTGAGATGGATGTTGTGATGGGAGCTGCAGTGGTCTCTGGAGTGAAGCTTGGAGCAGTAGGTTCCGGACTTGCAGGACCAGATGGCAGTTTCTCTGCATAGTTCTCTGGGAACCATCCTGACATGCCATTGATCTGTCCACCGAGCCAACCAGGTTCTGCTGTTTGATCTTTTTCAACCTGTGTAATTATATCAGAGAAGTGATAGCTCTTGTTAATGGATGATAGAATAATACATTGCTCTTGGAATACAAGAACAGTCTTTAATAAAAATACATAAAACGATTAAATGGTATAGATAATATTTTAGTAGGCCTAAGCCTGCACATGTGTCAAATATTTGCATCAGTTTTGTTGATTGGCATTATGCATTCAGCACCAATAGATACAGATGATAATGATGGGTAAACACGTTGGTGGTGATAAACAGGCCTGGTGATAAAAATGATAATGAATGGACTATTTTGAGGGCAATAGCTGATGATGATAATGTCGATAAAGATGATTGCAACAATACAAACAATAAAAATACAGATGATGATTATTATAAGATCGTTAGTTTGATTGCAGAAGATGAAGATTATAACGGTGGTGTTGGTACCAAGTGTGGTGATGTATTTACACTCTATAGGGTCATTAATCAAAGGACATCACAAAATTTTAACTTTGCACAGGCCTGGAAAAAATGTTTATGCCCCCGACCGTGAAAATTGTTTTGATAAAATGTCTCCAGCAGCAAATGTTATATGTACACCATTATAACCCAACAGTTTATTTTTTTAGATTTTTTTCCCGCCAAAATGCCTCTGGAACATTCATGATACCTCTGACTGCTGGTCACACATCCATACACTTTTTCCAGCTCTGACTTTGCACTCACCAGAATGATATCTCCCGGTTTCATTACCAAATCGCCGGGATCTTCACCACCAAACGCAAACAGAGCTTTATACTTAGAAAACAATTCGCCTGGCTTTTCGTCTGAGGAGGAGGGAATCTTTGGTGATATTGACTTAGCTGCCTTAACAGGAGATTTCCTAGCTGCTGGGGTTGGTTTGCTGGGTTTTACCTCTGTACTGCTTTTGAAATCAAACTTTGCAGAACTGAAATCTAAAAAAGAATTTACTATTCAAATGCTTTTGCATAAATGTGGCATACAATATAAGACTATGAGAAGTAAAATAAAGATTTTAAAAATGTATTTTTGAAATAGTGATAACTTACCAGAGAAGTTTGAGAATACATCTGATTTATTTTCTGTGATACTTGTCGACTTCCCTGATACTGAAAAACAAGAACATAATGAAATTTAATTTAAATTGTAAAAATCTATTTTTAAAATATTGATAACTTACCAGAGAAGTCTCATGAAGACGATTGAACAACTCAATCGAAACACTGGAACTTTCTCAACCAACAACAGTTCTTTTCAGAACTATTTGCTAGGGGGAACCGCAAGCATTAATATATATTATTACTTCGCCATACAAACCTTCAAACAATAATTTAAACTTACTTAACAATATCATAGTGTTTAATGCAAGAAACTTTAAAACCAATGGAAGGGAAGCACAAATATCTCAGAGATGCTGGCCATAGGTCAATCTCACCCTTATGTGGGTTTATCTCATGGTGATATTAATTGTAGTTGTGGTAATAATAATAATTACAATAATTTACTGTATAAGATTTTATATTGTATAGTTTCTATTTTTGTAATTAATCATTTCAATTCATTTTATTATGCCATGAAGATTAAATAAAATATACCAGAATACCATCTGATAACATTGAGCGTTTACAATTTCCACAACTGTGCAATAAGCCCATACCATTAAAAGTCTTGCGTGACAACTTTTAAAACTTAATATTTTATTTTTTTCTATTTTCCATGCCAATGATGAACCCATGTGGGCACATGTAGCCTTTCTTTTAAGAATTTGAATTTCCATAAAGTGCAATATTTCATTAAGAATAAAATTTAATTTTTTAAAATTTTTCATCCAATAATATTCAATTGCAATTTAAAGGAGACTTTAATACAGCCATTCCTGAATAAACAAAGTGGTTTCATCATACTCAATAATTCAATTTTATTTTCTGTTAATGCCATCAGACAATTAATATTTGCTAAAACAAGATATTAATAGTCCAGGGGCTAACAACATCCCACACCCCACTCCCTCCATCGCTGCTTTATACATTTTCTTTAGGTAGAACAAACCTAGGAAAACTTCTAATATAATCTACGTGTGTACATTCCATGATAAAGTTTCATCTATCTTTACACCTAAATAATTACAACGAGCAACTCTTTGACAGTTGGTACAAAATATGAATACTTTAAACATTCTAAAGTAAAGGTTTGATACGACCCAATGTTTGGGTTGCGGATTAAAAAAATATGCATAAAAGTTTGAGAATGTGGGTCAGTTTACTTTTGTAATGTGTGTGTGTATCAATAGTTTCACTTTCAAACTATCAAAACATTTGTACTTCGGGTATGACAACTTGAAAGTTTGATTTTCGTTTACTTCAAAGCGTTTTACTTTCAGATGATACATTTTTATCATCGATCAAGTATCTCCTTCCAATAACCCATATATTTTTTCTGTAGTACAAAAACATCTGCAATGAGTAATTTAAGGTAGGTTATATTAATTCAATTTTTTGGGTGTGTTAATATTATTAAGAATCTTTCATGAATGACGTGATATCTTTAATAATTGGTTGACAAACGAACCCAGTTCTTCTGATCTCCAATCCTTCGCACATAATAAATCACTCAAACTAGTAGTATATCACACTAGTGGACAAATCATGCTTTTCTGCACTTATTGTCTGGCATTTCAACATCTTAGTCTCTAACATCTGCTTCCTCCACCGTCCACCTATACCCAAGTTTGTTATATACTCATTTTATATAAGTATATTTTGTATATATTTTAAATATAGATCAATTATAAGCAATTATAGTTGGGTTTTGAGTACACTATTAGAAATAGAAGATAAAGGAGCCATTATTTCCTGAAAAAGTTTCCTGAAGCCCGCAAGGCTGAAGGTAATTTTTGAAGGAAATAATAGAGGATTCTATTAGTGTCAGGAAATTACTTAACTATAATTGCATTATAAGTCACTTGTGACATATACCATCAACTTTTCTATAGCCTTATTAGGAGCCTTTAATACAGCCATTCCTGAATAAACAAAGTGGTTTCATCATGATACTCAATAATTCAATTTTATTTTCTGTTAATGCCATTAGACAATTAATATTTGCTAAAACAAGATATTAATAGTCCAGGGGCTAACAACATCCACATCCCCACTCCCTCCCTCCCTGCTTTATACATTTCTTTGTATTAATTCTTCATATATTTTTTCTGTAGTACAAAAATATCTGCAATAAGTAATTTAAGGTTATATTAATTCAATTTTTTGGGTGTGTTATTATTATTAAGAATCTTTCATGAATGACGTGATATCTTTAATAATTGGTTGACAAACGAACCCAGTTCTTCTGATCTCCAATCCTTCGCACATATAAACAATGGACGTGATTTATTGACTAATAAATCACTCAAACTAGTAGTATATCACACTAGTGGACAAATCATGCTTTTCTGCACTTATTGCCTGGCATTTCAACATCTTAATCTCTAACATCTGCTTCCTCCACCGTCCACCTATACCCAAGTTTGTTATATACTCATTTTATATGTATATTTTGTATATATTTTAAATATAGATCAATTATAAGCAATTATAGTCGGGTTTTGAGTACACTATTAGAAATAGAAGATAAAGGAGCCATTATTTCCTGAAAAAGTTTCCTGAAGCCCGCAAGGAAATAATAGAGGATTCTATTAGTGTCAGGAAATTACTTGACTATAATTGCTTTATAAGTCAGTTGTGACATACTGTATACCATCAACTCTTCTATAGCCTTTTATAATCAACCTGGTGGTTGTAGAGTGGTTGCTATAGGCCTAATATCATAAATCCATCAGTGCTGATTGCCATGTATGGCTGGTTGTTCAAAGATTACTGTGAGTGTGCATTTAATAGCTGCACGTATTAGAATGATTTGTTAGTAGTATGAATGAATGGATTGTGGTTAATGAAGATTATTAGGGGTTACTAAGTAGACCTAACCTCCTAGTAGACATTTCTTTAACAGATTACAACTTATTATGCCTTTCTAAGCCATGACAAGGACAATCTAGACTTTATTCGTGTAACCAGCGCTGTCGAGAGATTTGTTAGGTTCGCTGTGTGGTCATAGCTTGGCCTAGCAACGAAAAAATTTTATCACAAGATCACAAAAAAATGGAGGCACTATATTGAATGGTGATCAGTTGAGAATAGAAAAATTCAGTGCAAATAAAAATGATGACATCACCACTGACTTATAATTATCATTATTGCTATCTATTTGTTTTATAATGTATTCACAATGCATGTAGCTAACTAATAAACTTATTTGAACATTAGTAATATTTTTCTGAGCATGATAAGACTCACTGGCACTGACTTCCGGTAAACAATGAAAAAAGTAGTAAAGTGAATGCATAATGAACTAGCTCTTTTTTTCAATTATTTATGAAGGAAATCCGTCAATTGACAGGAAATTATTAAAAAACTTGTATAGAATATAAAATCAAACTGAAGATAAAAAAAACTCATTTGGCATTTCTCAACAAATTCGAAAATAACTATAACACAAAATGTTATACATACGTACCAAGGAAGGACATACTTTTAATATTATTATATTGTTGCTTGGTTGTTTAGAATTAGTTACTGTTAATTCAGTTAATAATCTGCAATTTCTGGAAGTGACAACTGGAACTGTAATCCTTCAGGAAGGAGAATCTTGCAGAATTATTTGCAAAGTAGAGGATTCTGAAGACTACTCCATCTCATGGTACAGAGAAACGCCAGCAGGTAACAGGACAGTCATATACAGGAATGGTAGGCTGGTAAACAATAATCTAGGGCGAGAGGCAGAAGCTTACTCACTTAATAGAAACTTTGAGGTAGTAATAGGACTGGTGGAAGGGCGTGATCTTAGTCGTCTGCTTAATGGCAACAGTTACACCTGTGAAGTAACTGAAAAGGTCCCAGGTTATGTACTGTTGGTATCAAGTGGTCTCATCCTGTACACTCACTATCCAATCTGTGAAGCATATAATTTTTCATCTGAATTGATAGGCTCAAATGTCACTATCTCTTGTTACAGTGAATATGGTAGATCTGCCCTACAATGGTCAAGGAATAGTAAAGCAATTGAAAACATAAAAACAATTAACATTTTTCCTTACGTATACTTGAATTATACATTTATTCTTGAAGCAGATGACTTAGAGAGCAACTTTTCTTGTTCTAACGGACTACAAAGCTGCAATTTAACAACAAATGACCAAGCATCTGCAGAAGAAATTTCCCCTATCAACACTGAAGCACCAAAAATATCTACTAGCACTGTTATTGTTCGGACTGACATAGATGAGGAGAAAAATTCCCCAACAATTTTTCTTGATGTGGAGACCAGCATGTGTCAATCATCTACCACCACTATTGTCCTATCTGTCATCATAGCAGTTCTCCTCACAATTGTTGGCATTGGAACAGCTGTTAATATACATCTCTTCAGAAAGTTACAACAATGCAAAAAGGCCACTAAAGGTACGGTAATCACAGCCACTCTTGTACCAGAACAAGCACCTGACTACATTAACGTTCAACAATCGACTGATAACAGAGGTTTGGAAACATATGCAGACCTGATGCCTAGAGAAGAAGCTAACTACAGCTCATTACAGAACCCTCAACACAAACAGGACATCAAAGGTCTGGAAATGATCACCACTGTACCAGACCCAGTTCCTAATTACATTAATGTCAAAAAATTCACTGCTAACCGTAAGATTTATAGTAATAACAGACGTTGGGGAACATGTAGATCTGCAATCAAACTTCCATAGAAATTCATCAATTCACATCGATTTCTAATTTTAAATCTCAAATACTTCATTTCCAGTTACTAATTTCTTTTATACTAATTTTATTTACAGTTGAAAATCCATTTCAGTTAAAGTTACTTTTGTTTTTGTTTTATGGTAATGCAAGTTTAATTTTTTTGCATCTGTTGTATATGATGATGGGATAAGAGCAGTTTTCTGTTTGGGTTCATACCCATTTCTAGCAAGATTGTACTTTACTTTGCCAAAAAATAATATACAATAATAATAATAACAACAAAAATACTAATGTCTGGAAAT